TGAAAACTAATCTGATGCTCACTAACCACTGGCCCTATTCAGGCAGTTAACCTGGGGTTCTAGTGGGAAGCTGTGACCAGTAGGTTACAGCAAGTTGAAGATGAGGCAGCAACTCATCAAAGAAGACATTGTGAAGCGGTCGCACAATGTCGGGAATTGGTAGAAGTTAGAATTCAAGGACCATTGGATCGGGTCCCACTGGCTCAATGGTCTACGAGCCCGCCTTGTAACCAGACGGTCCTGAGTTTGAGCCCCGGAGGTGCGTACTGTTGAAGGGTCCCAAACACTAGGACGAAACGGCTGTTGAGTACTCCCTGCAGGTTTTCCAATGGTTCTCTAACTGATGTCAGCTCACTAATGAAATTCTTCATGTAATTTAATTAAGGTAGGGCTTTAAGAAACCTTTATATCCAACCTTCCTTCCTATGTCAGATTGCCATCGTCTCTTAAACCCGACTAGGTTTTAGAACAGGCGACGAACTCGAATTGGATCTATCAGCCTCCTACATGGTTCACAAGCATTCTAGTTACCCGTGTTACTTACCACTAGCAATTTCATGCAGTCAGCAATCAGTCACAATGATAGTGTGCTGTCTAGTGATACTACTTAGTTCAAACCTGTTTGTTATCCATTTGTCGAGAGTTAAGGAGTTGGAATCAGTGAGACAAAGCCCCACGAGCAATCTACCAATGAACCACCGATGTACATATGCATAAAAAATGATAGTTTTTCATTTACCTAAATTAGAAAATATAAGTATATGAAGTGAACTTTACATTTTATGTTATTCCCTTTGACTACTTAAGTAGTATGTCTTATAAAATTCTACATTTCACCATGTGTTGATTAAGTTCATTTTTATTATTATTTCAGATAACATGTAAATTCAGATTCTAGATTTCATAGGGATTTTTTCAATATATTTCAGAGTGCATTACATCGCTAACTGACACGTCAGCCAGAGGTTTATTTAGAGCTACCAAAATAACATTGGACAGTTGTATTCTTATACATTTCCTTTTTAATGACTCCGTAACTCAGGTATTCGTCTTTTATGACGAGACCTATATTTAAAACTAACTGAGATTTCTACAAAATATAAAGAATCGATCTCCAGTTCAGTGGTAGCTACTGGGTGGGTGGATGTCTAGAAGTTGAAATGAGAAATTTTCGCCATCTGAGTCCACTAATATCAAGGTGTAGTGGAAACGCATCAAAGGCATTACCGGTAGCCAGAACATAGAACTCATCGGTGATTGAATTCTGCTTCAAGTACCTGAATGATAAAAGAGCTTTGCCCCATAAGTTCTTAGATCTAACTTCTGGTGATGCCATGGGTTTTTTCCCTCACTCTCCCAGTGGAACATAGGGCCTCAAGCTAGTGGCTTGAAGTTTCTGTAGCAGTGTTTAATTTTTACAGGATGAGGTTGCTAGTCTCATGCCCAACCTTTCCTCTTTACCAGCATTATTCCTGGCTTAGCGAGATAAAGGAGTGCGACTGTGGCCGAAGATCGAACCCCGGACCATGTGCATGGTCGGTGAGCGTCCTAACAGCTGTGCCACCGACGCACATACCATCAATTCACATGACATTGGAGTATTACCTGTAGGGATCGCTATGAAATGATGACCACGCCAACAGTTTAGACTCTTAGCACACACATGTTGTAGATTATCTGACTAGTAATTCATCTGTCTCTAGTTTGAACCCTTCGTGGAGTGAATAGTTCACTTCTCCTTCGATTGTCACACACTAAACCTAAATCTTATTTCTTTAAATGGCATTCAATGGTAACGAAATATTTACTGGCATTTTACCAGTATTTCCAACAGGTTACAAAGTTTGATAAACACCTGCCCCCTCTTTTTGATAGTGAAGATTAGATGGCCAGAAAGGAAAAGCAAAAAGAAATTCTGCCAACTAGCTAATCAGAAACATATCATCAAACAAATATTTAGAAATGAAATGAAGACAGATTGGACATAAAAGGAGGAGACATTTGAATAACATCACGCGTCTGGTCGTCCCGTGGGACCCGACTGAGAGAATACAAGTTGTGCTTCCAAGGGTAATAGTGGGGGACATAAGAAGAGATTATGAACAGTCGTAGGGTCGATTGAAAAGGGTAAAAGAAAACTGAGTGCAATGGGGACGTGCTGATGAAACCCTATATTCCACTCGGAACCCAAGGAATTCTGAAAGTATATTTGACTAGTTGACTTATCAGTGTAGAATTTCATACAAAGCGCCCCAGTTCACCTTACCACAATCCAGAAAGATCACAAAAGAATGATGAGGAAAACAAGAAGATATCGGGTCTAGAGTGGACAAAAGTGTGAGGATTACTCAGCATTTTTGGAGTTGGAATTAAAACAACTAGTGAAGCTATGTACATTAATAAAAAAGGATTTAGATCCATGTCATCCAAAATCTCCAACCAGTGATTCTTAAACATCGAGAAACTCACTTAAACAGTTAACACCCCACTGAGAACAAACTAAAATTGAAAGACCTCATTGATTAATTTCATGCTTTTTACCCAACGAGGCGTTTGGAGTCAACACAGGAGTCAGACAAGGGTGCTTATTATCATCAATAAATGATATTCCTAATTGTGGTGGACTGATTGGATTAGGCGTCAGACAGTGAGTGGGAAACGAGAAGACAGGGGTATCCTGGACCGACCGAGGTGAAGTACCTAGATAGACCTGGATTTCGCGCGTGGATGATTTATGTTTGATGTCACACAAAATCGAAGACTTACAAGCGGAAACCGACAAAGTGGTTGAAGAAGCAACCGGTGAAGACAGGACTCCAGGTGAACATAGACAAGACGGAGGTGATGAAAATAACCAACCAACTAACAACAACAACAACAGCAGAAATATCCAGAGTCAATCACCATCAACGGGAGGGATTTGAAAGGGATTACTTCATTAACTCACTTATCTAGGGAGCATTGTCTCAACTACACGCAGTCGGAACGGACAAGGATGTCAAATCGAGAATTGCGGGGGAGGGCAAGAAACACATTCATCAACCTGAAACTAATCTGGAAATCTTAGTCACTCAGCATCAACAACGAAATTCGGTCGGATTTTCAATACAAACAGGTCAAGTCAGTCAGCTCTTCTATACGGATCAGAAACTTGGCGGGCGGGTCACACAGAATATTTCCAACAGCCTGTTGCAGCCACAACTTATCAGCAACTGTCCTCGCTGGCTCTATAGTGAAGATCAGATGGCCGGACTAGAAAGAATTACCAACAAGAAACTATGGGAATAAACAAAACAAGGAACAATCGCCAACTAACAAATATGCAGGAGAAAGTGGAGATGGATTGGACGCTCGCTGAGGAGGTCGCTGAGGGACATGGCGCGCGCGTCAGGCCATTGCTCGAGTGGAACCAGGCCGAAAGGGAAGCGGCGAGTTGGTCGTCAGTGCAAGGGTGACATGGAGGAGATCGTGTGAAGAGGAGCTGAAACAGTATGGACTAACATGGATGGAGGTGAAAAGTACAGCAGAAGGAAAACAGAAGCAAGTGGAGACGTGCAGTTGAAGCCCTGTGTTCCACTAAGAACCCAAGGGAACAATAATAATAATAGCACTTCGATCTGTTCAAAGTTAGGGTTATATAAGCATGATAGACAATTATTACTCTGAAACCAGTGTGGAAAGCTACTGCACTCAACATAAATAACAGGATTTGAACTTTCAACACCAATTTTAAGCCACTGAGTGATTCTATAAGACTCATATACTTGATGTGTCAGCAAATGCATTTCCAACATCCTGTTTCCGACTATTTAACGCTCAACAAATATGCTGGAGGAAATGGACAGTGATCTGACGACAAACGACATTCCAGCTCTCAGTTTGAACCCAGATGGGAACAAATGAGTTGTATGTGTGTGGTTCCGAGGGTTTTATGAAGGAGATCGTGTGAGGAGGAGATGAGACCCCATGAGAAATCCTGAAGGCAGGTAAAACAGGATGAAGTGGAGCCACTCCTGTGAAGCCCTATGTGTTCGCCTCGGAGCTAAAATGGATAATAATAATAATAATAGCAATAAAACACTATCTGTTGGTACCTAAGACTTAAGATCAGTATATAAACACGAAGTTATTTTCGTTGATGGTAACTAGCAATTGGATCGGTGATCCATATTTCACCCTATTCAGGACTCTTCAGTTAGATGTACCTGCCCCCCCCCCACAGTGACTGATGGTATTCCCACTGAAATCTCTAAACTAGGTGTCATGCTTTCAAAATCCAAAGCGTTACTCGCTGGGCAACAACAAACACTACCAAATCAGAACCTCACTAATCACTGGACAGAGATTTTTAGTTAACATGTCGCCTCCTACTACGGACAGTAACGATGTCTGAAAGTTAACATAATTTTATTTTATTGATGGTGCGTAGCAGTGAAATACACGAAGCGCCTTTTATCACATCGACAGGGTCAGCGGCGTGGTGACCAATACATGCCTTTCCTAAATGATGAGGAGATTTCGTGAGTCGGTGGCACAGTGGTTAGGACTCTTGCCGACCATGCGCATGGTTCGAGGTTCGATCCCCTGCCGGCGCACACCTGATATCTATGATTGGCCTGCAAAATTTGGGCTACCGATATCCATGCTGAAAATTCCATACTTGTGCCAAAAATACAGTGTGAAATCAAGCTGTACTAAAAGCAAATCAAATCCAACGTTTCTGTCGAATACAAATAGTAACCAATGGTAAGCACGGGATAAATTACAACAAATTATAAATGGTGAATCTCGTGGCCTACAAGGATAGAAGTTTGATATTCGAAACGATGGGTGCTTGATATAAGTCCCATTGGGGAATACACACTATCACTCACTGGAGATGCTAACGAATTCTAGCCACTACCAACCATGTTTTCATAGATGCTTTTCTATCAATATCTGAAAGTCAAATCGTTTTCCTTCCAAACACAACCTTTCCCTTTTTTCTTTCTTATTTACAGATCAAAATTTCTATGCTTCATTTGACAAATTTAGTATCATTGGCGGAGATAAAGAAAAAGGATTATTAAAAAAACAATTATGTTATAAAAAATCAGGAAAAATTTGTGGATGTTTTACCACAAGAAGATGATACTTTTTTTGGAGAATTATAACATATTTTTATTGAAAACTTTCTACATTTCGAAAAAATAAACAAATAAATATGCAAATTTATATACGTTCTTATTTCGATTTGTTTATCATTTAACATTTGAATGTTGAATATTTAAACTATCCCAAAACTGGTCTATTGTACATTGAACACAAGTTGAAAGTTTTTGAAAATCGTTTAAATTTATTGTTTAAATTGTATAATGCCAATTTAAACAAAGCATACATGTGTTTGTTATTTGTTGTTTCTTGTTATTATCACTATTATTGTTGCTACTGTCGTTAGTATTATTGTTTAAAATGTTTGGAAATGTTGAGTATTTAATGAATTTGAAATAAACACAACCTTGGATAGTGTTTTTTGTATTAATGGAATAATGAAGAAATTTTAGGCAAATAAACATGAACACAGATAGACGCATCGCTCTGTGCGAGCTACTGACTAATTGGTTTTTACGACTAGTTCTAGGTCATTCATTCACATCAAACAGTTGGGCTTGTCAGCCAACCAGCATGAATGAAGTGATCAAAAGATCGAAAACCGCAGTTTCGTTTATTTGAAGTCGAACTCGTCGGCAGTGTTCCAGGACGGACTCATCTTAAACAAACAGATCAGTTCAAATCACCTGAATTCTACCTGACTAGTTACTTGGGGAAACTGTTTGCCTGACCCTGTCACACATTTGTCGTTATTTCGCCTCACACTTTCGTATTCTGCTTTCTTCCGACCTCCCAGCAGCGTCCCAACTAGCAGCCTCATCACCGACAGATCTTGAACGCCACTCAACTGCCCAGAAGCCTCGAAGTCCTGCCCAAATATCTATATGTCTTCATCATAAAACGCAGGGCATAGGCTTTCCATTTGTTGGTAGGCAGCGACACCAAATGTAGCAACAGAAGACAAGGGCCAGTTAACAGATGGTTTATTTACGAAATCAATACGTATTTATAGATTTTCATGTACATCATTATAGACTATTGTAAGCAAACAAACACAGTCTTCTGATTGGTCGTTTCTCACAGAAAGTTAACCTTGCATCTCTTTGTGGCTGTTTCTTGAATGTCAGATCATCTACGCAAAGTTTGCTGTGGTTGGTTGTTGAATCAGTCTTTGTTCTTATTTTTCTCACAACCAATATTAGGGACGTAAACAGTGAGGTAAATTATTGTCTGCCAATTTTGGCTGGCAGCCAGGTCTCACCACACGACTACTGCTGTTTGATGTGAACAACTGTTATCCAACTACTCATATGAACCAGTCAGTAGTATGTAGCTTAGTGATTTTATCCTTGATTTCTCGGTTTATATTTTGTGGGATCAATTAGATCACACATTTTAGTATGAATATGTTATAATGTTGCCAACTGTAAGTGTGGATGCTAATTGATGATATGAACGTTTTATAATTTCCTGGTCGATTATTCCCTCAACCGAACTAGTAAAGTCCAGAAGACATATTGGTAGGGTTACAAATATGTGTTTACAAAACAAGTATGAAATAAGACGAGGAGTACATCCGTATATGACATATATTGATCCAATCATAAGAATTTAACGGTAGGTGCCCAACTGCATGCTAGATTCTGATTGGTTGACGCCCAACACGTGATGAAGTATGATTTGTTTTTCATCTGACTAACAGACTAATGAAACAGCGTGATACTTATTGCTCAATTGTACTTCTCAATGACCACATTCCAAGAAATCGGAGAACAACACAGTTTCTAGTATTATGTGGGTGCGGATTGCTGAAGAGTTCAAAACTAGGACGAAACAGCTGTTCAGTACTCCTAGATGCTCTAGTGGTTCTCTGACCAATGTCAGCTCATGATGAAGTCCTGTGACACGTTTACTGTTGGAAACAGAAACTATGAAGAAATTTCACCTCAAACGGTTTAAATTAAACAATATTAGCTATATTTCACAGGTTCTCATCAGCTGCCGAAGACTACCTGAAATTACAATGATTATATAGATGATAATAACATACTTTAATGTTTGTTTGGTAGTAGAGAAGAGATACTATAAAATTGACGCATCCAATATGAAAGCATTACAATTTTTAGTCTAAGTTTTCATCATCAATCAAAAGATAAGAAAGGATAAAACCTAACTGTAGAAAAGAAGAAAGTGTTTATTTGTCTCCCATTCTAAAGAGATGTAGTGTCACAAAAGATTGACAAAAGACTGAAAGGTGCAATAAAAAGAAGCTTCCCGGCAGCAAAACTAATAACATTATAGCATAACACCACTTCTATAAGCCACTCAAAACTGCGGATGTCACATCCAACTGTCTTTATGAATTTACGTTTCCTTTCGGGAGCAAACACATTACAAGGACGGAAAGAAGGGCTTCTATCAGCATTTCTGAACAAATTCCAAGAAACCTGTGCCAGAAAGGGAGCGAATCTTATGTATACACATAAACAGTCATACCGACAATATCGTTCTTCTCACTTATTTAGCATGTGCGTCGGTTGCACAGCTTTTAGGACTTTCGCAATATATTTCCTCCCGTTGAACGCACCGATACTATCATAGTCACTGCACAAGACACTTGAGTTGATGGGCGTCCTTTTCATTGTGGGTGACAACACCAATGACGACTGATTGATACCAGTTGATGAACTTAGCGGTGGATCAAGAGCTGTTCTATTTCGGCTTTCAGATAGTTGTCTAACTGCAAGACTAACACCACTGCTGTCTTTTACTATTAGCTCGGGTTTAGCACTATCATCTGATGATAGGTCGGCTACACGCTGATCAATTACACTGACGGCCTCACAAGTATCCATACCTTCTGCAACTGCATCTGCGTTCAATTCTACTTCACGTTCAAGTTGTACAGAACCTTTGTTTAACTTAGCAGTAATAGGCATATCCCTCTTCTCATCATGATCAACCAAAGACAAATGTGCACTATCATGATCATTATCACAAACATTCAATTTACCATCATCTATCTAGTCGACTTCATCATTTTCAAACTCTTTATTAACAGAAGTAGACAATTTTGGTTCCTCCTCACAAATCCTTAGAGGTTTTATATCTTCACTCTGACTAGTAATACCTTGTAAACGTGCGGAGTCAGAACTGTCCTCTGAGACTTTAACTCTCTTCTGTGACACTCTATTCAACAATGGCTTACCAGTTGCAACTACAGACTTCTTCACCACACCGTTATCGCCACATGATTCGGAGTCAGACCTTGATTTCACATTTAGCTTATCACTGAACTTGCTCACTGATTCACAGTTCATCTTTGTATGCACTTCTTGAAAACGTGTAAAACACAACCGTGTTTGTCTTGCATCTTGCAACTTATCTGTTGAGGTTGTACAACGAAACCTGTTACACTCACTAAGTCTATATGCATCACTAGACACCATAGAGCCTTCTCGATATCCACCTCTCTGAGACCCTTCCGTCATCAATGATTGCGTTTTGCCCTCAGACTGCTTTATTCTAGGGGTGGGATGCAATATACTGGCAAACTTGCTCATAGATTCATTGACACTATCGTTTACCAGTTTCAGAATATCATCGAACTTTGGCTCGATACCTTCATCCTCTACACAAGAGCGTATCTTCACCCACTTCCTTTGCAGTCGAGTAGGTAGGCGTCTCCCTATTACTTCTAGTATAAAACTCGAGTTGAGGTCACTCATGCGATTCATCGAAATCATTGCATTCTTGTAAATTAGCAAATTATCTAAAAACTCAGTGAGTGCCTGGGAGTCATCCTGTAATTGACCACCATTACCCTTAACAGCCTCGAATAATTTCCCTGCAATCATCGCAGGTCTTCCAAACCTTTGACGCAGTATGCTCATATCCTCATAGTACCCCTCGTTCGCCTTCATAAACTTACAGCACTGTATAGCTCTTGAAGCATCTCCAGTGCAATACCTCATCAAAAACATTAACTTCATTTCATCACTTAATAAAAAACCACTCAACATGATCTCAAACTCCTTTACAAACTGTAAATAATCAGCTGGGTTTCCGTCGAAACACCGTGGTTCAAATTTAGGGAGTTTGATATTCCTATTATCCCTAGACGGTGAAACAGTAAAATCAACCATCTCATGCTTAGCATAAGGCACATCGTTACAAGTACCAAACAAGTCAACGTGACTTACTTTCCTGTTCGCTTCCAATACGCTCTGTCTCTTCTTTGACCCAGGCATCACTGAACGTAACCGAAATTCCAGAAAGTTCCAGATAACGCTTGATCGAAGAAGACTCGGCTGGCGCCAGGAAAGACGGGCTGAGAATATCGACACTGTAGAAAACTGTCACCAACCGTCAGAAATTGTCAATCACGTCACAAAAACCGTTAATGCCCAGCTCTTGCTACACCGGGCCTCTCCCTGTCTCTCGAAGCCTTTCAGAAACGCTTAGTACTAACGGATGCAAAAACCAGGACACCGATTGGCGACTCGAGAAATCTTTATTCCAACACCAACATATGAGCAGCATAATAACTAAGGTCTATGAACAAATATTAGAATAATAAATCACGATATTATTTCTGACGGTTTTGCACATGTTTTCTGAACAGCGATCGATGAGACGATGACTGGTGTATTGATGCCTCCGCGAAAATATAGGGAAGTTGGTTTGAGCAAAAACAACCATGAATTGATCGTTCAATCTTCAATTGTATTGACAAGGCAAATCGAAATTTTGCATGCCTGCACCTTGGAGAGAACTTATTTCGCGGAATCTCTAGTTTGATGACTGCAGATAACGCATTCTTGTGCAATCATAAAAAGGCAAATTTTTGTCATATTCCTCTTGCAGTTTCTTTATATATTAGTTGCCACCACAACTGGCATCATCTCTGGCCACACAACGAGGAATTGCTGTAAGTTATGCTGACATCGAAATAAATATTGTACTCCATTCCCCAAATAAAATGAATGCAGGTAAATCGGTGGGTCATCTCTACATTGTAGGACCTCCAAAAAGCGGTGTGTTGCGGCCACCGAGATGCAGAAGTGAAAGGAGGATTGGAGAAGGTCAGAACAAGTAACCACGTATGAACTATACTTTCTCTATGATTTGTAAGGCTTTTGTCAATGTAGTTGAAGATTGAACGATCAATTCATGGTTGTTTGCTCAAACCAACTTCCCTATATTTTCGCGGAGGCATCAATACACCAGTCATCGTCTCATCGATCGCTGTTCAGAAAACATGTGCAAAACCGTCAGAAATAATATCGTGATTTATTATTCTAATATTTGTTCATAGACCTTAGTTATTATGCTGCTCATATGTTGGTGTTGGAATAAAGATTTCTCGAGTCGCCAATCGGTGTCCTGGTTTTTGCATCCGT